AGTTACAGAAATCTGAGCCGTTTCATTTATATATATATATATATATGACTGCCAAATTATGCATCACATTGTTTATTAGTTTACATTAAAACTGTGTAATCCAACTGGATGGATTGTATATGCAATTCGAATACATAAATCTTGAATTTAGGCCTGAATATTTAGTGAGATAGTGTGAAGGTGTATTTACCAAGGGCAGCTGCTGCAATAAGTGTATGTAGATTAACTAAAGGCTTGGTTAAAAAAGCTAAAAGCCGAATAACAATAGAGATACTGACCTACTGCTGTTGAGATATAAACAGCTGATCAAATGCAGATAAAACACACTTACGTCTGTGTGCATGTTGTGCCTTTTCCAGCACAATCCTCTGTGTTGTGCTTCTTTGATGAGAATATCTTAAAAAAAAAAATCCTCAAAAAACAATTTTTCTCACACCATCACAGTCAGCAGAAAGTTCCCTTCACTATCACAGGAAGAAGTAAGTGTCTTGCACACGGATGTTGTTTGTCTAACATCGTTCCAGGACAGATGAACTACATATCTGCTGACGTAGACGTCAGTCTTGCGCGTATAATCTTGCTATACTTGTTTTGCTAGTATTACAAAAAGAAACAAGTTGAGGAATCATTCATGTCTGGAGAACAAACGCTGCACAAAACAAATAGCTGACACACATTTTAATGGGAAAAACCATTAAATGCATGACTGTGAGTTACAGGTTGACATCGTAATCTGTGAGTATATATGATGATGAATACATATCCATACAACTGCAAAGATGACCAAACAAATAATTACAAAAACTAAAAGTGATCGTAGAGTGTCATCTAGAGAAAGTCTTGTTCTCTGCAGAATAGTGTTAAATAAATATACAGCAACATTTCTGACAATCATTTACCCTTAATAAGTACACAAACTTTTCATTTTCAGTATGCTGCTGCGTATGAATTAAAGCAGGGGCCAAAATAACAAGCGTGAAACATTTAGTGATCATTTCTGTACCTGTAGCCGATGTGAAAGTGCATATAGTTTTGTTGAAGTTTTTACGACCGTGACCCTCAAAATGCAGCACCAGTGTCACATTTACTAACTCAAAGATGGTTGAAATTCTTCAGACAAATGTCAGTGTTGAGCTTACAGTAAAAACAGCCAACCCATCAAATCAAACCAGCAAAACAACTGAGAAACTGAGTTTCCATGTACAGCACAGCAATGCATGTTTCGATTATTTGCACAGGTTTCAAATCAAAAGCAAATCAATTTTTCTTAAATAACTGTAAATATATACACATATGAAAAATAAGTCCAGTAAAAGTTGATATCAGAAATTATAATCAGACCGAAGCTCATGGCACTTCACATCATCACCCGGTTTAATTCTGTGCCCAGTTGACGAGGATGGTTTTAATGAACTACTCTGAGCAACTAACTGGGTATCATTCTGTTCTTTTCCTACAACAACCCAAAGACAACTGTGCTTTTTCATTCCTCCCGCTGAGAAATATTAATCATACAGCAGATATTTTAAGTGCAATAAATGAGTAATAATTTTACATCTTAAATGTACTGTTGTTGTATTTTGATAGTAACTGCTAGTCATGAAATTATATTTTGCATGAAGCCTATTTTACAAACACCTATCTATTGCATTATGACATTATATGCATGACAATATATCATTATATAATACAATATATATTATATTAATGAAAATCAAGCACATTTAATGCCAAATAAAATTATTTATTTATAATTAATAACATTAATAGCATATATATATATATATATATATATATATATATATTATATTATATATATATATATATATATATATATAATATATAAACACATTATATATAAACACATTGCAGTGATGAGAAACTTGGAAGAAAATGTGCTTAATTGTCATGAAAATAATGTTATAATGCAATAAATATTTATGAATTTAAAATGGTTTTATTTTCTCTATGCAAAGCATATTTTTTCATACCTTTTTTTTTTCTTTAATTAAATTTTTCGGAAATTCATATAGTTTAAAGACCGTTTAACAATTGCATTACATCAATGGATCATTCTCCAGCATCACCGTGAAGAGTTCAATTCTAAACATTATTTAAAAAAAAGATTAATTTAGTGACCTATAGAAGTTATTCTCTAATCAATGGACCCAATAAATCATCTATATTGTGCTACAGAGAGATAATCAAGTGCAAATCAAATGGTCATCTAATTCAGATTCAGTCTGGGTTATTAGAGTTAACTGTCCGTCAGATTAGCCACGCAACCCTTCATCTGTCGTTTGTAGACGAAACACCTTAAACAGAATCTGAGCACGAGACAGACGCCACTGTTATATCACTATGTTATATTGGGAAATATTTGAGCAGGGGAGAGAAGATTACAGACTCCCCCAGATCTCCTGGACTTCATGCTTCACCTGTCTGCCGCTGCTTCAGCAGGAGTTTAAGAGACGACGCAGCCCGTGTCCTTCTGCGGCTTCAGATCCGGCTCCTTCACCGGCTTTATCTCCTCATCGTGCTTCGCTTTTGCCTGGAGGAGGGAAAAAAATCATTTTAAAAATCTAATATTTGAATTGCTTAAGTTAATATATAGCTTGATGTAAAAATGGTTCCTTTTGCTGACTATTATGACAATCGGTAACAGGTGTCCACTAAGAGCAGATCCAGAAAGCTATTTAATGTAAAAATCCAATTTAGAGCAGAAATCACATTTATTTGCAAATAAAGAAATAATATAAAGCATTTATATTCAGCATACTATTAATTATAAATATATGTATATATAAACACAAAGCCGAAAAGGAGTTTTCAAGCATCAAAACAAAGTTTAATACAGCTTTTTTTCCCCCTGTACATTAGAATGTGTTCTGTTTAATTGTTTTTTTCTGAGCAAAAAATAATGCCTATCATACATTTTTACCATGGTTTACAGAAGACACCCCCTAAAATGTCATTCAATGTAGCCACAATACCAAAAAAATTTGGTCAGGCATATTTAGACCAAGAATCATTAGATGACATTAAAAGACTATTTAAGAATCACAGTGCAGCTCTTAGAAACTAATTAATTGTCATTTTAAATCTTTGCCACTATCCTTCAAACCACTAGGTTTAACTCCATTTGTCAGCAAGAAGATTTAAATTTAAATTTTGAGTTTTAATTTTCATTTAAAATCTAACAAAATTTATTATGATCACCTTTTCTTTTATATATTTTCATAAGCACAGGTCAAAACAAGCATGTTTGTTTCATTTGTACATAAATGTATCGGTTACGCTGAAAGACGATGGAAATTTATTTCACCCATATTTTGACATTTTAGAAACACGATGCATTAAGAACCTGGGGGTGAAAACTTTTGAACATTGTGTACATTTTTCTTTTTCACTTAGTACTGCCCTTCAGAAGTTACTTATATGTTTCCCAAAATAAGTACAATTTACCCTGATCTTTAAATTCAAAAAGTTTTCGGCTCTTAATGCAAACATTGCATATATATACAATTTGAGGGAAAGGAAAGCTCTCCTCACCTTGTCTTCTTTGGGTCCTTTGGTCAGGTCAAAGGTCGCGTAGACTTCAGGCGTGCATTGAGCGCTGAGAGGCGGGAGCTCGAATGGAGTCGGTTCAGCCAAACCGTAACTGGCCTTCAGTTCCAGCGCTGGAGTTTCAGCAGGAACCTTATGAAAGTAACTGACACAGAAAGCCAGCCATGAAAACTCTAGGAGTCCTCTAGGAATCGTTCCATCATTCTGCTCCATTTGCGTGTTCCCCCGTTTGACTCACATGAAGCTGTTCTCTCTCTGGCATTTCTCCAGGGTGTTTTTGATGAACGTGCCTAGTTTCTTAAAGAAGAGCTGTTCCGAGGGTTTGGCCGTGCTGCCGGGACCCTTCATCTGACGGTACTCTTTACACAAGGCTTCAGCGCGGGAGTAAACTGAGACACAGAGATTCATTACAACCATCCAAAGGAAGGATTTCACACAGAAAACCATTCAGAGCTCTAAATAATCACAGACTAAAACCATTACTGCATCATGTTACAAAGAGACATACAACCTTTTTTTTTTTTTTTTTTATACATACACTGTAATAAGTTATTTTTTTTAAGTTGTAAATAAAACAGATTATCAGAGTACGTTTTACAAGAAATTGCTATATTTCAGTTTTTCCTACTTCAAAATTTCAGATTTACTACCAATTTCTGAGTGAAAACCATTTTTTCAGTGTATAAAGAGCTCATTAAGATGACTTTTCTAATGGAGATTAAAAAAAAACAAAACTTACAACTTTTTTTATATTTAATACCAATGTGAAATTACAAAATATATCTGAATAAATATGTCCACTAAAACACCTATGGCCCTATGAAATCTGTTTTATTTTTTCCCTTTTAATTTTTCTGGATTACATTTTTTTTTTCATAAACATTTTTCTGGACTCTGTTTTAATGGTTAAATTCAATTTTATTAATCAAAAAGCATTTGCAAAAAGCATTTTTGGGGGGCCCTATGAATTTATTTTATTATAATTTTTTTTTTTTTTTTTTACCAAATTCTGTGTTTTCTGTTTATTTAAAAAAAAAAAAATTTTCTTCAGAAATTCTGTGATTTGTACTTTAATTTTTCTGGTAATCAAATGATGGCATTTATTTACATTTATTTTAAAACATTAATTCATCTTTAAATCAAATGAATATTAAATAAACAAATATGGAAGAAAATTTGCATAATAATTTTAAATAATAATTATACTAGTAGTAGTAGTAGTAAGGGGTACATTCTACTGTACAATAGTAATAAATGTCTGATAATTTGTTGAGGGATTCATCATTTGCGTACATTTCTCGGCCTCCTGCAGGGATCTTATGGCCTCTCCACATTTATCACCCGCGAGAAGAGTCTGTCCATGATAGCAGTGTGCCTGTACATAACAGAAACAAATCATACAGCAAGATATTTATTGCATTAGTGTGACCAAATGTCGAAAATAGTGATTGTATCCAAACACTCCACTCGTCTTCCATTGTTCAAACGAACAGAAAGTCCTGCTCAATATTGCATGTTCAATTATTTAATTTAAAAGGATCCAGTAACATCGATTATTTAATCTCAAATGAACACACAGACATCCAGATGTGTTCAGCTTCAGACGGGACTCACATAAGCCATGTAGAAGTGCTGCTTCAGCTGCAGGTATTTCTTCCATTTACTGCTGCATTCTGGATCCAAAGTGTTCAAAGTGTGATCTGAGCAAACATGAAACATAATCTTCTAAATAATATAGAATTTCATTATACAGCACTCTGAAATACTTGATGAATGCTTGAATATTTCTGTATAATGACTAAACTGCATCTGAAATGAATGATTCCGATGTCTGACGTGTCTCTGTGCACTCTCGGTCTCAACATGACAATTATTTTAATTCAAATCAATATTCATGTCCATGCATTTATTTATTTCATGATTTATATCAAGGTTCATTCGGGTCAGCACGGCCCTTTACATATACATATTATATAAATATGTTTTATATATAATCTTATAAGATTAATATAACCTTGTAAGACATTACAAGGTCTCATTTATTAACATTAAGGCATTAGCTAACATGAACTTAAAAAAGCAATTCATATTAGTTCAAAATATATAAAAGATACAACGTTTTGTAACATTTTCAAAATGTATTACTAAATGATGAGAAAACTAATTAATAAATGATATATATATATATATATATACTGTATATATACATACACACACACACACATATATATATATATAGTGTATATATATATACACTATATATATATATATAGTGTATATATATATACACTATATATATATATATAGTGTATATATATATACACTATATATATATATATAGTGTATATATATATACACTATATATATATATATAGTGTATATATATATACACACACACACACATATATATATATATATATATTTTTTTTTTTCAAAAAATCTAATATGCTGATTTGCTGCTCAAGAAACATTCCCGATTATTATTAATGCTGAAAACAGTTGTGCTGCTTCATTTTTTTGTGGAAAAACATTTTTTCAGGATTCTTGGATGAATAGAAAGTTCAAAAGAACAGCATTTATTTGAAATAGAAATCTTTTGTAACATTAGAAATGTCTTTACTGTCACTTTTGATCAAATTAATGTGTCCTTGATTAATAAAAGTATTAATTTCTTTAAAAAAAAAATCTTATGGGCTCTACACTTTTGAATGGCAATGTGTAATATAATAATAGAATTTAGTTATAATATAATAGAATTAATATATACACACACAAACATATACAAGTATATATAAAATATTAAATATATTATTTCAAAAACATTTAAGTGATAATTCACCAAAAGAGCTTTGAAATATATGCCATTTTTAATGCAGAATTAGATAGAGAGGAGAAAATGAATGAAAGATTCATTACACAAGATCAGAGCATGTGTGTCTAAACCTACCGGCCTTCTGGTAGAAGTTTGCTGTCTCGAACGACAGCGCTGCGATGAGGGAGGCGTTGTGCTTCAGCTCGATGGCTCTGGCAATGGTGACTAAAAACAGAGACACATGAACCATCACACACACACACACACGCAGCAGTTCTCCAGCGATCATGACTGTCAGTGTGTTTTACCCTCCTGAGCCTCTGCCTGACTCTGCACAATGTAAGTGTCAATGACTCGCGGCTCCAGGTCTCGACCCTTCTCTGCTGGAGTGATGAGCCGAGGAATATGAGTCTCCTGACAGGAAACACACCACATGAGCACATTCAGAACGAAAAAAAAAAACAAGTAACAGAGTCAAATATTACCATAAATCGAACAGTAAGCCAATCATGACCATGCATTATCACGTTTAAAGGGGTTTAGGCACTCTATGTGGTAAAACGAGTGTAATGCATGCGCTCTAATTAATTTTTTCTTTCATTTTCCACAAAATCAGCATATTTTACCTTGAGGGTTTTAAATATTCCAGCAGCGATTTTCAAACTCTTGTGAACATCTTTGGCCTCGTCCTCTGTGATGCTACAGTTTAAAACAAAACAACCTGTCTTTAATGAAACTACAAATATCGAATGATCAAATATCTAACTAAACGTTCCGATATAATTTATTACACATATAAATGTTCCTGTGGCTCAGCGGTAGAGCATTACGCTAGCAGCGCAAAAGGTCGTGGGTTCGATTCCCAGGGAACACACATACTGGTAAAAAAATGTATAGCCTGAATGCACTGTAAGTCGCTTTGGATAAAAGCGTCTGCTAAATGCATAAATTATTATTATTAAATTAAATATAATGTATTACACACTGGGGTAATGCACAGTCAGTCAAGTTTAATTTGTGATAATGACCAGCTGACTGTACATTATATACATCAACTCATTTATTTCACACCTACTTACCAAAGAAAGAAAGAAATAATATCTAGATTTTGAATGATTTTTAAATGATTTTATTACGTGGGAAGAAGGAGCGGAGTGATGTGAAAGACTCAGTGTTATATTAGTATTATTTAAACATTTATTAATAATTTAATTTAGTTAGATTTTTCAGTTTTAATTTCATTATTTAAATTATTAATTATTATTTAAATTATTTTTGTTAATTCTAGTTTAAGTTATAGTCACTTTTCTATGCTTTTATCATTTTATTTATTTATTTATATATTTTTATTTCACTTTTATTTTTAGTTTAGTTTTAGTCATTGTAACATTAATCGCAACATTTCTCATTTTCATTTTTTACTTTTTTAAATACAAGAAATAAAGCTGATATCCATTTCAGATTATTTTTTTTTTTTTTTATATAGTTTTATGTTTAGTTTAAACATGACATAGTTGAGCCATGAAACTAGCACAACTATGTAGGAAATTGGTTGCCTGGTTTTAAAAGTGGAACAATTCTGAACTCCTCACAACATCAGATAAGTGTGTTCTGCTCTAGCAGCTGTAGACATAACTTCTCTGAGAGAGGACAAACTGCCTAAAAGCTAAAGCACAGCATATAATATTTTAAATGACAGAATCCAATCATTCTAGAGAGCAGTAACACATGTAACTTACTTCTCCTTTCCGGCCAGTCGTGAGGCAAACTTGGAGTACCAGACGGCGACATTAAACGCCATAGACACCAGCTCAAAAACCGCATCCTGCTGGGCACTGAAAAACACAAATCATATTTTATTCCCATCAAACCATGTTATTCTACTTCAAACTCAACTTGAAGTCATTTTCATAAAAGCTCGTCAAATCAGATCATTGTCAATAAGGACGTGTAGCATAACATGCCTTCAATTAAAAAAAAACATGAACTAAATTACACAAGATAACAGAAAATAAGAAAAGAAAACAGGTTCATTTGCAGTGAGGACGAGCACAGTTTGTTCAGAACACAATGTGTTTTCTGTTATTAATAATTAGCTTGATAAATATAATAAATAATGCATTTCAGTGTTGTCTTCTTTTGGGCATCACTTTACACTAAAAAAATATTTTTTTCCAAAGTTGTAAATAAAACAAAGCTTATTGAAGTACATTTTACAGCAAAATACGATTTCAGGGTTTCTACTTCAAAATTTCACATTTTATTAAATGCGTTACTTGCCATTTCTTTGTAATTATTTCTTGAAATTTACAAGCAATTTCAGAGTAAAAACCGTTTTAAAGTTAATCCTACACCAATATTTGTCAGTGTACTTGAAGCCTTTATGTATATTAGGGCTGTCAAAATGGCTGAAAAACTAAATTCGAATTTTTTACTTAAATATTATCAATATTCGAATTATATTCGAATTTAAAAGGCATAATTTCAGTTGGGGGAAAAAAAGCTGTTGGCTTCTCTCCTGAGGCCACAAGAGGGCGAATCGAGCAAAATATTATGCACGTTTCTTCAAAGCATAATAAAATAACACGACTATCTTTGCATAATGTTTAAACTAATCATTAATTTTACATGGCTTTCTAAACATGCCGCTCTCTTCTGCGAGACGCGAGTGCAAGTTGTGCAACGGTGATAGATGTCCTTCTAGAAAATGCGATAAATATGCGTTCTGTGTGAACGGCTTGGTTTTCGGTTTTGACGTAAACAACATCTTCCCCGCATTGATTGTTCTCTTTTTCTGCAATATTTTGAATGAACAACGTAGCAGCGCCGCATCTAGTGGCTTCAACTGGACAGGCTAACAAAAGCATTAAAATGCAATGACACTTACATCGTCGTCGCATCTCGTGCGCCACTGATAAGGCTGTCTGACACACCTAAAATTCATCTATTAATTCAATTAATGTGGATTTTTATTTTAAATTCGACGAATATTCGAATTTTTGTTTTGACAGCCCTAATGTATATGGTAATGCATTGCATCTTTTCATAAATTGTAACCAAAGTTAAAATGCATTATAATATCTGCAGATTACATTTGAAATTGGTTGTTTGTTGTGTTTAATCCATTATAGTTGTAACAGGTGCAACAATGAATAAATAATTATTATAATGTATTGCAACTGTGGTTACAATTATTCATGAGATCAAACAATGCACTATAAGGTGCATTACAAGGCATAATTAATGCATTAAAATGCTTTTATAATGCATTATATATAAAGGCCTTATGTATTACTCATTATTGTTTACTTTTGCACAACTTTCTTCACCAATGAAATGTAAAATTTAGGTCCTAAAAAGGGAAACCAGTGGAAAACCACTTAAGTAAACCGCATCGTGTAATAGTTCCAGCTCTTTCTGAGTTACCTTGCGATATTTCCCTGTAAAGTGTCAGTCCATTTGAAATTCTGGATGAATCGGAGCTTATTCTCTTGCGTGGTTCCATCCAGTGGCAAAATGAATCCTATAACAACAACAACAACATATCTCTGAGCAGAATTAATGCAAATGCATAAAATGTAGCCTGAGCAACATGGAAATATCTGAGCGGAGAGGAAATATAATAGTGCACAAACCCTGTATAAGAGCAAAATATTCATCACTGGATTTCTTCATGATCTCTGGGGTGCATGTGGCATCTGTGAACATGTCCAGCAGTCGGGCCCGCGTCGTTCTCAAGTCACTGAGACACAGATTTCATATTTATATTAGGAAAATCATACAGTAGGGTGACCGTACATCCTCTTTTTCCCAGACGGGATTTCTAAATTGCCTAAAATATCCATGTTTTGGCTTTGTTTGACATGCTCTCTACAGTCCTCACACATTACATGTACACGTTCTTGCATTGTTTTGACCGTTCTCTGTAGATCCCGCCTTCTCGCACGCCACAATTGGTCGATTATCCACAATGACTGCACGCTATTGGCCAAACTACTTTTCAGTCATTACCATCAGCAAGTATGAAAACAATAGGAAAACAAAGCCAAAACCTGGGCATTTTAGTCAATTTAGAAATCCAAAAGAAGAAACAAAAGCAGTAATATTGTGAAATATTTTTACTATTTAAAATAAGTGCTTTCTATTCAAATATATTGTAAAATGTAATTTATTTCTGTGATGCGCAGCTGTATTTTCAGCATCATTACTCCAGTCTTCAGTGTCACATGATCTTCAGAAATCATTTTAATATGCTGATTTGCTGCTCAAGAAACATTTATTATTATTATTATGTTGAAAACAGCTGAGTAGAATTTTTTCAGGTTTCTTTGATGAATAGAAAGTTCAGGAGAACAGCATTTATCTGAAATAGAAATCTGTTGTAACATTATTAATGTCTTTATCATCACTTTTGATCAATTTAAAGCACCTTTGCAAAATAAAAGTATTAATTTCTAAACATTCCCAAATGTTTTTTTATTTTATTTTACTGACTCCAATCTTTTGAATGGTAGCGTGTATGATATTACAAAAGCTTTTTATTTCAGATAAATGCTGTTCTTCTAAACTTTCTATTCATCAAAGAAACCTAAAAAAAAAATTATACTCGGCTGTTTTCAACATAATAATAATAATAAATGTTTCTTGAGCAGCAAATCAGTATATTAGAATGATTTCTGAAGGATCATGTGACACTGAAGACTGGAGTAATGATGCTGAAAATTCAGCTTTGATCACAGAAATAAATGACACTTTAAAGTATATTCAAAAAGATTTTAAATAGTAAAAATATTTCACAATATTACTGCTTCTGCTGTATTTCTGATCAAATAAATGCCGGTTTGGTGAGCAGAAGAGACTTCTTTAAAAAACATTAAAAATCTTACTGTTTTAAAACTTGACTGGTAGTGTACAATGAATATATAACAGCAGAATAAAATGCTCACTTGCAGATCTTATTGGCAGCGGGACTGGACGCCACGCCGTACAGGTTGAAGGACACGGGCGCCGTGGCTTTCAGAGGGTTTCGATGGAACCAGTGAGTCATGGTGAGAAGATACCTGAACGAGAAGAAAGATGCTTATCAATTTCAGTTTTCTTTGATACTTGATTTTAAGGACATTTTATTTTCTGTTGTACGATCACGACCAAACGTCCAGAGTGAAATCTGGATCCTGACCATCTGAGAACCACTGGTTATTCTTGAGAAACACAAAAACACGTCCAGTCGACCAAAACAACTCTCGACTAAGTCTAGAGATTATGTGATTTCTACATAAAGGAGAGCCTTCACAGAAGTTATTTGAACTAGTTTCAATGCTTGTGACCAGTGTTGGGGAAAGTTACTTTTAAAAGTAATGCATTACAATATTGCGTTACTCCTTAAAAAAGTAACTAATTACGGTACTTAGTTACTTTTTATGGAAAGTAATGCATTACGTTACTTTTGCATAACTTTTTTAATCTGGACAGGGCTTGCTTGTTTGTTTTTAAAATAAAAAAGTTCTATTTTTGGCAAATATAAAAGCCTTTTCACACCAAAAGTGAAATGAATAAGCCTCAAGCTGAAGGAAAAGTAAAAGTAAATTCACGTCCGTACAGTAGAATGCAGAAGAAGAAATTTCAACACACTTCAGCAATAAAAAAAAGACACAAATGTTTGTCTAGAGTAATTTTTGCTTATTAGTACGGTTGAACTGGATCATCGAAGGTCAGAAGCAAAGAATGGGATTAAATACATAAAGGATATTTGTGTTGTTTAACATTTAATTATTGCAGGTTTGCGTCATATTCTGAGTTGCATTATTTTTATTCATTTTGAGGAATACTGAATCTGTGTTTTGTTTTTTTTTTTGTGAGTGAGATGAATTAATGCATATTCATATTTATTTTAGAACTACAGTAACATCTGATTTCTCTCAACATGGGGACAGGAGAGCTGTCAATCAATAAATTGGGAAAAAAGTAACTTGCGTTACTTTACTCGTTACTTGAAACAAGGTAATCGGATTACGTAACTTGCGTTACTTGTAATATATTACCCCCAACACTGCTTGTGACAGATATACAAGTCATAAGCAACTAAATGACTGAGCACATTTCAGTATCTATTAATACTACGCAGTGCATTTTCATATTAAGAAGAAATATTTAACACTTAAGAGATCAGATCATAAGATCAAACTAGTTTATCGCTTCTGTGTGAATGATCAGATTCATTTGATTTTGAACATCTCGGCCTTGTTTACCAACAGATCTATATGAATAAAAGCGGCACACTAGTTACAAACTACCTACTGTTGATGCTTTATCGTCTACAAATGAAAACACGCTGATCTGTGATCTTTATGTTGTTCATAAAATGATTCAAACCTGAGAGAAATCAACGGAGTCAGAGACTTGCTATCCAACAGCAGCTACACGCTCAAATCTCACAACAGACTCTTAACACTCGATTTCAACGAAACAGACTTTGTCTTTATACCAGAAAAGCGTCGACTGTCAGATGTTTGTTGTTTTAATCGGCGAGAGTCCAGAGATGTAGACCAGGAAAGGCCAAAACAATGAACGCGCTTCCTGTATGACGCATTTCCGGCGGTGACGTCACGCCCACTGGTTTACGTAACTATTCTGGCGCGTTTTATAACCGGTTGTGTTTGTACATTATCGTTTTGCAAAAAATAAGTTTATAATTTGAATGTGCAATAAAATAAGTTGTATATGTGAGTACAGACAGTCTAAAGGAAATGGATACAAATTTTACTTTTTTTTTACGACGTACATAAGTCAGAATGACTAAAAAAAACATATATATAAATAAAAAAACCTGTTATATCCAACAATTAACCAATATTCACTTACATTAGAGCTTGATGCCTCCAATATGGTAATATAGAGATGTACATTATGGTTATAGAGAAATATGTATTTAATCTTTTTTTAATTAAATAGCTTTTCATTTTAATTTTATTTAGTTTAAATTTTGTTGTGTTTTGTCGTTTTTGTTATTTTTTTAAATACGTCCATATAGTTTTATGCTTTAGTTTATTTCGTTTTAGTAGTTTTACTTCCAACTAAATAATAATGAGAAATGTTGCCTAGGCAACTAGCTGAAATAAAATATTGTATTTCAGTTAATATATATTTAATTAGCTATTTATAAATAGTTTAAAATGTTACATTGCATTACAGAATTTATGTTGTGTAATAAAAGTTAAAATATATTTTTAACTCATTTGTGTTTTATCGATTTATTACTGACTAAGACAAGCAAATGTTATTTATTACGCAATTAGTCACTAATTACACTATTTTCACAAAGGTCTCGTGAATTCTTATAAGGTTCGTATCCCTTCCTCACGCCTTCTTTATTCTTGAGCGCATATTAGGACTTTTATTTTGTAAACGCGTCTTCCGGCGCAGTCGCAGGTAGTTCGGTTGCACTCGCATCAGGCTTGTGTCGGTGTGCGGCGGTGCCACCGGAGCATCCGGAGCCCAGTGGGTGTCCCAGCGGTGCGCAGCAATGCGGCGCTGGAGATAAAACTTCACCAGCGATGTCAGAGCCCGGAGCTTTCGCCTAACTTCAACCCGAGAAGATGTCAGATGTCACCAAAACTGTCCAGAAATGGCACGCGAGTTTTAAAAAGGGCACGAACTTTGATTCGTGGGGGCAGCTGGTGGAAGCCATCGATGAGTATCACATGTAAGTTGCGTATGTTCGATCAAAATAAACACATATTTGTGGCGATCTCTGGATCAGAGCTGGTTAAAAGTGAGGTGCACGTTTTTGTTTTTTTTCTACAAACAATACAAATGGAACTTGCATGACAAGTGATGCATTGCAATTACACAAAGTAGCGATTTAACGATAGATTCGCGTGTTCTTGCATCGTTCGAGTTGATGCATGAGATGCGGTGAGTACATAACTAAGTGTTGGGTGTTTGTCAGCCTGTTTGCAGTATGTTGTTGAGCGCCACACCCTCCAGCACTGGGTGGAGTTTCTGTCTCGAGCTGAACTCATGCCATTTAGGTCCATGCTGACACAACACACTCACTGTTTCTGCTCCTCACACTCTACTTTTGCATTTTATTCACGGATTTAATGTGTATTCGTTCGTGGAGCACAGTGTCAACAACTGCAGTACTGTCATAAAGAAAGGACTTTTATTATGTATTCTCTTACAGTATATATTCCATCTCTTAGCTGCAAATGTGTCTATAAACAAAGTTATCATTAAAGTTGCTTTAATTCTTTAGTTTGAAGGTGTGAAGGTTAGCTTGTGGTGTGATTTATCCCCCCCCCATCATGATCTATGAATCAAAGAAACATGTGGCTAGAAATATATTTAGTATTTCCATGTAGAAAGACATAGCAAAGACATTCAGTCATTTGTAACCAATTATTGTGATGTTTCATCAGACTTGCGAGGCAGCTTCAGAAAGCGGTGCAGTCGTCAAACTCACATGATTTCACAGAGGAGCAGAAGGCAAGTCTGTTTCCCAGAGATGACAGCTGTCAATCTTTTTTTTTTTTTTCAATGCTTAACATGACAGCAGATGCAATCCCAAATTTGGATTTCTTGCTCCGTTATCTTACAATATCAAAATAAATTATTTGATTCATTTCTTTTCCAGAAAACCCTTGGAAAGTTTGCAACATGCCTTGAAATGCGAAGTGCGTCCTTACAGGTTAGTGTCGTTATGAAACGAGTCTAAATGACCGCCGGACGAGATGGGAGTTCATCACTTACAGCTTCTTCAGAAAACGGAAAAATCTATTGATATGTATTATTGCTGAAACCGTGCTGTCGGCAGTGTATTTATTATGTAGCTCACATTGAGAAGAATGCGCAGATTATCAGTGCTATTGTTAACTTCAAACTATGATTCTGCTGGTTTTTTTTGGCAGTGCACACAATCTCAAGAGGAGTTCAAGTTAGAAGACCTGAAAAAACTGGAGCCCAGTATGTACATATATATGTGAATATGAATTATTTTAACCCTATAAAGCCTGCTGGGTCATATTTAGGGCCCGAGCACCAACGGTGTGAGGACCCTCTTGGAATTGAAATATTCTCACTATATCAGACTATATGAGCCATAAAAGCCTGATGTATCACACATGATACAAATAGGGTTGCAAAAAGGTGGAAAATTTCCAGTAAATTTCGGAAACATTCCAGGATTTTTTGGAATATTCCAGGGATTTTTGGTTAAGTTTCCGGAAATTTTCCACCCCTTTGCAACCCTAGATACAAAACAAAAACACGCATGCAAACTTGTTTATATTTGGTCTAAAGGTTCAGTAAACTGTTCCATTTAAAAAATACAAATAAAAAAGGTTTCATATGTTAAAAACTCTGATATATCTATATAAATAGTTTTTATAAATCACTGCTATTCTTCTGTTTCTCCACAGTTATTAAGAACATTCTGACTTACAACAAAGATTTCCCTTTTGATGTCCAACCAGTGCCTTTGAGGTATTTCTTTAATTATAGAACAGGCAAATAACACTCGCATTCAGAAATGGTCAAAGTCTAGCTTTTGTTCGGTGTCATTGATATACTATTGTAATTTTTGTTAATATTTTGAATTAGATTTTCTTTTCATTTTAATTTTAGTTAGTTTTCATTTCTTTAATTATAGAACAGATAGTTCCGGTCCTGGATGCTGATTGGTCAATCCAGCGCTCCATTTATATCATTATGCTATAAAGAGTGTTGTTAGGCATGATTATCATCTCAAACTTTTGAAGATACTTACTATACTAATATACTTTGTTCCAATAGAATCTCTTGTTGTTTCACAGATTTTAGCAAGCATGTTTTGTATTCCTGCTGCAGTGATTGGTCATTGATTCTGGGTGTTTTTAGGAAGATTCTTGCGCCGGGTGAGGAGGAGAACCTCGAGCTTGAGGAGGAGCTGGACGCTGGGACTGGAGCAGGTTCAAAACCATCATTCCCTTCAAGGGTTCCTGGTGATTCACTTCATAGTGCACGACGTTCAGCTGGACTTACTTTGATGCACTTCTTGTTATGGATATGATCAGCCTTAAATATGATTTTTCAACCTTAAAAAAAAAATCAGGCAAATAACACTCGCATTCAGAAGTGGTCAAAGTCTAGCTTTTGTTCGGTGTCATTGATATACTATTGTAATTTTGTTAATATTTTGAATTAGATTTTCTTTTCATTTTAATTTTAGTTAGTTTTCATTTTGTTGTGTTTGTCATTTTGTTATATATATATGTCCATATAGTTTTATGTTTTAGATTATATCGTTTTAGTTATTTTATGACATCAGCTTCAATCTAAATAAAAATGAGAAATACAGTGGGTACGGAAAGTATTCAGACCCCCTTAAATTTTTCACTCTGTTATATTGCAGCCATTTGCTAAAATCATTTAAGTTAATTTTTTTTCCTCATTAATGTACACACAGCACCCCATATTGACAGAAAAACACAGAATCGTTGACATTTTTGCAGATTTATTAAAAAAGAAAAACTGAAATATCACATGGTCCTAAGTATTCAGACCCTTTGCTCAGTATTTAGTAGAAGCACCCTTTTGATCTAATACAGCCATGAGTCTTTTTGGGAAAGATGCAACAAGTTTTTCACACCTGGATTTGGGGATCCTCTGCCATTCCTCCTTGCAGATCCTCTCCAGTTCTGTCAGGTTGGATGGTAAACGTTGGTGGACAGCCATTTTTAGGTCTCTCGAAAAATTTAAGGGGGTCTGAATACTTTCCGTACCCACTGTATTGCCTTGGCAATTAGCTGAAATAAAATTGTATTTCAGTTAATATTTAAGTAATGCACTGCAAAAATGATTTTAGTAGTATTTTTGTCTTGTTTTGCATTACAAATACCTAAACATTCTTAAATCAACATACATTAAGCAAAATGACTTAAGATATTAAGTTTAGTTTTTTTGAAAATTGTATCAAAATCAAGTGTTGTTTTTGTTTTTTCTGAGAAAAATGTCTGCCAATGGGGCAAAAAAAATAATAGTTTTCCCTTTGAATTAGATTATTTTTTCTTACCCCAATGGCAGATTTTTTTTCGTTTTAAGCAAAAACTAAAAAAAAAAAATGTGATAAATTTTTCAGAAAACAAGACGTAATATCTTAAGTCATTTTGCTTCAAGTAAATGTATCTTGATTCATGAACGTTTAGATGTTTGTACTAGAAAACAAGACAAAAACACGGAGTAAAAAAATCATATTTTGCACTGAATTTTTTGAAGGTTTTAGTTTAGCAATAATAACCCAAGCTCTGTTACGGCAATATTAAATTTAAGGTAAGTAAACAGTAGTTGAACTTACAATAGTGAAATTCACTTTCAGAGAAACTGATCCATTTTCTGTATCAATAAGCAAACAAATTCTCATTTGTTTTTACAGTTTTAATGAAAGTTTGACGTCTTTGACAGGTACGCTGTTGCCACGGTTACCCTCAGAGCCTGGAATGACTTTGCTCTCGCTGACGATAGAGAAGATCGGTCTGAAAGACGCAGGACAGTGCATCGACCCGTACATTACAGTCAGTGTTAAAGGTAGAACTCCGCAGCGCTCGCTATTGTCATATCAGACCTGTGACTGTCCTGACATTTTTCTTACATTTCAATCTTTCCTTTTCACCCTCCAGATCTGAACGGTATAGACTTGAACCCGGTTCAGGACACGCCAGTGGCCGCGCGGAAGGAGGACACGTATATTCATTTCAGCATGGATGTAGAAATCCAGAAACATCTAGAAAAACTACCAAAAGGTCTCACTTTGCTCTTAATGGAATATTTCACCCAAAAATGAAAATTTGCTCCATGTGAGATCTAGATGAGTTCATTTCTTCATCAGATTTGGAAAAATGTAGCATTGCATCACTTGCAGTGAATGGGTGCCGTCAGAATGAGAGTCCAAACAGCTGATAAAAACATCACAATAATCCACACCACTCCAGTCCATCAGTTAATGTCTTGAGAAGAGAAAAGCTGCATGTTTTGTAAGAAACAAATCTATAATTAAGATGCTTTTAACTTCAAACTGGCTAAAATAGGAGTCCATAATCCACAATAAGTCTTCCTCCAGTGAAAAAGTGTTCTGGTCTGAATCAGGAGAGAAATCTGCACAGATCAAGCGCGTTTGAAAAAGTGTTCTGGTCTGAATCAGGAGAGAAATCTGCACAGATCAAGCACGTTTAAATGGTTCTAAACAAGTATGTGGCTGGATTTTGATGTGAGAGACAACAGGAGATGCACTTTTTCACTGGAGGAAGCGTTATTATGGATTATGGACTCCATAATTTCATCCAACAATATCAGTTTAAAGTTAAAACATCTTGATGGATTTGTCTTCTCCAGATGTTAACTGATGGACTGGAGTGGTGTGGATTATTGTGATGTTTTTATCAGCTGTTTGGACTCTCATTCTGGCGGCACCCATTCACTGCAGAGCATCCACTGCTGAGCAAGTGAAGTAATGCTACATTTCTCCAAATCAAACTCATCCTAATCTTGCATTAAGACTCAAGAGATGGTGTATGAAATATATTTCATCATATTTTTGTGGTTGATCATTATTGCGCTTGCCTCTTCTGTAGGTGCAGCTATTTTCTTCGAATTCAAACACTATAAACCCAAGAAAAGATTCACAAGCACTAAGTGTTTTGCTTTCATGGAAATGGATGAGATCAAACCAGGTCCCATTGTTATAGAACTGTGAGTACCAGAGTTATTCAGAGTTGGTTACATCTACTACATTCATTCATTGTATTTATGGATTACATATTAATCTGATTTTAGGTACAAGAAACCGACCGACTTCAAGAGGAAAAAACTCAACCTCCTGACAAAGAAACCACTTTACCTGCACCTCAACCAGACTTTGCACAAAGACTCAAAGATCCGACAGTCTGTTTTGCACCTTTGTAATTCACTGATAACCACCAAAAGGAGGTGGTGATGAGAAAGTCACATGATGAACCAAAGCCCATCACAAGCAGCTTTTAAATAATAACATATATAGAAGGTGTACAGTTATTCACTGTAAATTATACGGCCTTTTTCAATTCCAAAAACTATACTACCGTAAAATTAATGTCCAATAGTTTTTCACCGTATATAGTAGAGGAATTTACCGTTAACCATTTAACAGGTTTTTACTGTAGCATTTTTACAGTCTTTTACCGTTAAATTCACGGTCATTTTTTACAGTGTATATAAAGACGTTGAGACACAAGCTCCCTAAAAGTATGTAAACACAAGTGCAAATTTAATCGCATTAGATGATAAAACGTTTTCTTAGAACTAGCTGGTGTTTTAGTGGATGAATGAAGTCATCAGCATGATCCACTAACCACAAATATAAAAATCACATAATACTTCATTTGCAAAGCTACATCTATTATTTTAACATTTTAAACCATGCAAACTTTAAACTTTTTTAATTGCAAGTGCATCTTTCTTAAAATAGATACTAAATTAAGTTTGATGGTGTCTAATGCAAGCACATTCAGATATTTTTAAGCATGTCCTATTCTGGTAGGATCACTTTTGTTTTGTAAATGCTCTAGTTAATGTTACTAAAACTTGCTAGACAAAAATTTATTGACTTTTCTCACACAGGGTATCACAACTTGCCAAAAAATGGATAATTTTTGTACCTTTTTACTCTTGTGGTGTTCCAGGTCAAAAATGACCCACCAAAAATAGCTTATAAATTTCTTATGCTAGATTACCAAATACTGGATTTAATCTTTTTATCCACTTGGCTTCCTTTAATTAGCACCTTTTGTATTTCTTTTTGAAACTGACTGATCATAAGCCTCATTGATCTGAGCTCATGCACCTCAGTTTCTGAGTGAACACTGCCAAAATTATCCACAAGTAATGTTTTTTCTATCAAAAACTGGGCATAAACTCAGATCAACGAAGCCTTGTGCTATCGAAATAAAACAGTTGACAAAAAGATGGAATCTAACATTTACTGATAATATATAGCATAATAATGTGATTTGCACGCAATATTTAAAAGGCCGGTCATATTTGACCAGGAAAACCATTAGGAAAGGATTTTCAGCACAGCAAGTGTTAAGTGAGTAAATCTTTGAGGGAAATGCTGGCATGATTAATTGCTTAATGCAAATGTCCTGTATTAATTAGTCCAGAGCAAAATCGCTGACTCCTCCATGGGAGTTCTTGTCGAAAGATGTTGAGATGCATGGATTCGCAAGTAAACACATTCATCAAACCTACAGGAAAAAAGAAGCTTTATTCAACTCATTCATTCCCGTCAAATCAATGCCACATTTTTAAAACCGTTTCTTCGCTAGGATTTCAACACAATGCATCCTCTCAACACACTTCCTAAAATAATTTACTCTAATATCAAACAAAACAGTATAAGCAAAGAAAAAAAAAAAAAAGACAAAAAAGGTCTATGGATTGAGTATTGGAGCATTTTTCCATTTTGTTTCCAAAAGCATTGCATGAAAAATCATTCGTGGGCCTCGTTCATGAAACACGAGCAGATTTTCTGAGAGTAAAACCATTTCGGGAATAAAATTGAGTGAATCGATTTTTTTTAATATATAAATTATTGCAATTCAGTGAATCATTTGCGATGAATGTGTGGCACTTGCTTGTAAAATCATTCCTGCATGAATCGAATGAGACTAATTCGTTTACAAGAATGTTTTTATGTAAACCGTCAACAATCAATTCAAACAGTTTGTCAAAAATTCATTCTGCGCGTGTTTCATCATCACGCAACATCCATTAATACACACCTGCATGCTTAAGGGTAAACAAGCTAAATTTAAGAAAATATGGAGTCCATTTTTATTATTTATTGAATGTAGGGATATTAAACAATATAATGTGCATGTGCATTATATTAACCCCTTACAACTGCGGTTGTTATTGCTTGCAATGGATTATTAAATCTAACTTCCAAAGTACAGACTGTATTAATCCTTATGTTGGTTTTGTGCTTTACACTTTTTATGTAATATGAGCCTCTAGTGTTTGTTTGTTTTCTTTTCTTTTCTGTACATAGTAAGTATTGTTACAGACACGGTATGTACATGTGTCAGTCTTGTAAGTGTTTCAAGAAAATTTAATAAAAATAATATTACAAAAAAAAAAATACACCTGCTGGCTGTATGAAGGCTCGGATGAACAAACACAGAGACATTCGTCTGTTTCTATTGTGTCTGATTTGTGAGAATATTTTATTGTATACGCAGCTGAAAGAAACGTACAAATACTTTGTCAATATGACATCATATGTGCCTTTCCGCTAGGAAAAAGAAATCAGAGCAGATGCACGACGAATCAAACGTTAAAATAAACACAGGTGCGGCGAATAATCACGAGAGCTGGTGGATCATCAGACTAGAAGCGGCTGAACGGGAATAGGGTTGTTCAAAAATGGTGAAAAGGCATAAAAATACGTAAAGTCTCTTCAGAGTCCTCTCACATTAAAGGCATGAGGAAATGGCTTCACGATGTGCCTAAATATAGGCTTGGCATCCCAGAATGCATCAGCACTGGTTCGAGTGGTAGAGATTGTAATGTAACCACATGACAACCACCAGGAAAAAAAATTGAATGCATATTAAATCAAACTATTTCCATAGGAAAGGTTTGCTAATGTATAAAATCAAAACCTCATTATTTCTGTCACAAATGTGTTACTGAAACAAAATTAAGTGTTTTTTTTCTACCCAAACCTGATTTTGATGGTTAAATATTGAAAAGAATCAGGACCCAACAAAGTCGAGCTGGCGAATCAGCACGTTTTCGTGTCAAGGTTCGCCATCCTGATGGGACGCGTCCGTTGGCGGCTCGTTGGCTGGTGTGACGTTCCCCTCGCCGTCTCTGGAGCGCTGAGGGATTAGTGGAGGGGGTCCCGGGAAACCGCGCCCGCCGTACAGAGGTGGGATCATGGCTCCGGGGTGCGGCAGATGTCCGGGGGGGAAGGGGCGAGGGGGGAGGCCGCGAGGGCCGAAGAATTCTGGAGGGGCGTCCCACGGTCCGCGCGGCGGAGGGGGAAGCGGTCCCAACGACGGGCCTCGTCCTGATGAAATAAAGTGAAATGTAAGGTTTCAGCAAGCGGTGAACTGAAAATGAATATCCAACGTCACTGAACAAAACGGTGACGTTTAGTTAGCTTTTAAATTGTCAATTTTATAATACAAACAGTAAATATGGTTTTGACGCTCTTTAATGTGGCGTCACAGATCACTTTAACTGCGTAAACACTAGCGATGCACCGAAATTTCAGCAACCAAAATATTTAAACTGAAACAGCAATTTTCTGTTTTGTTACCAACATGCTAATCATGCTAGAAACATGCTATCAACATGCTAATCATGCTAAAAACATGTTAACAACATGTTTATCATGCTAACAATGTTACAACAACATGCAAGCAAAATGTTAGCAACATTAATCATGCTAGCAACATGCTAACCACATGTTAATCATGTTAAAATATGCTAGCAACAGGCTGACATGATAATCATGTTAAATACATGCTTGGAACATGTTATCGTCATGCTAATCATGTTAAAACCATGCTAATGTTAATGGTAAAACATGCTAGCAAAATGTTAGCAACATTAATCATGCTAACGACATGCTAATCATGTTAACAACGTTAATAATGCTAACAATGTTAAAACACGCTAGCAACATTCTAATCATGTTAAAAACATGCTAACAACAAGGTAACATATGCTAATCATGCTAGAAACACGCTAGCAACGTGCTAAATCAATCTAGCCACATGCTAGCAACGTCTATCTATCAATCAATCAAAACTTTCCAACTTCAAGCTTTTACTGCTGCTTCAAACTTTCAGTCTAGGCTTTCTCAAGCCAACATCAAAGTTTGTTCACAAACTTTAGCCAGAAGTTAACGTTCAAATTGTCAATTTAATAATGAAATACAAACAATAAAAGTGGTTTTGACACCCTTTAACGTGGCATGACAGATCACTTTATAGGCTTGCTGCGATAGACGGTGCTGACGGTTATACCGGTGTTAAGCCGCAACACCGGTTACGTCACTTGCCCACCACGGCACCGACCCCCACCGTCGTTTTGATTTTTTTATAGTAATAAAAATCATTTAGTTCAGTAAAAGAACAGATACTACAATTAAAAACTGAACGCGGCTGCTCAATGCAGCGTGCCGAACGAGTCGCATCACAGATCAGATTTAATTTCTCCAGTGAAGAGAGAGAGTCGAGCCGACTGACAAGAAGAGTGAGGTGAGACAGACAAGACGATCGCGGATGATTTAGTTTCGAAACGAGATGCAAAAGCGCCTGTTTGGCAGTATTTTGGATTTTGAAAAGCCTGTTGACTTTTGCCGTTTATCTAAGGTGATTTTGGAAGTTTTTTAAACATTCGTTTTATTTTATATTAGGCATAGCCTGCCCTATAGCATGGTATATTTTTATTCGTTTTGTTAATAAAAGATCTATGTTTAATATATAGGCTAAAGTGAGTTTGACGTTGTATTTTTTTTTTGCTGCATTCAAGCAATTGATGCGGAATTGCCACTAATTCGAAAGTGAAAGTAAAATGCACACGGTGCTTTTAAGCTATTTAAATGCAAAGGAAAGCGAGGAAAAGAGGGAAAATTCAAACAAACAATTGCTTTACGCCAAATTGCCGCTATTTGAAAGTGAAAGTGAAAGTAAAATGCACACGGTGCTTTTAAGCTATTT